TGGAACATTGTCGATTTTGGTAAACTTCACAGTAACACTAAAGCTATTTTTCACGCAGCAAGTTACTTTAGATCCACGTCTTACAGAGTGCATTTGCTAAGCTAAAATTCCTACTACATATTCCAGGTAATCAGTGAAGACTGGTTCCTTAATGTGAGTCTGCAATGTTTTACTATTTTATCCCCATTTTTGCTATTATATATTCTACTTTAGAGAAATAAGAGCATTATATTATATCCATAAAGTACATACTTATTTTCTACGAAAACTGTCACAGGAGGTCGTAAAGTTGCAAGAAAAGTTTAAGCGCGCTGGCCGACTTCGTTTGATAATATATACTCGGACCGCCATATGTGATGTTCATCAGCGTCGGCTTTTTACGAAGAAAATAAGTATATTTTGTACTACATTCGAGTAAAACACATTATATGGGAACTATATGCCAAAAAGCTCGTCTTTCACGGATTTCTTACGACGGTCAACTTGATAAAGCAAAATTAATTTAAAAGCTTACTCAGGAACACTTTCATTAATAAAGGAATATGAAGTAAGCACATACACCAGGTTTCCGTTTTATAACGATCACATTGATAGTGCAAAGCTATAGTCTTTGTCATTGTTTATGAAACTAAAGGGTAAAACAAGTTACTTATAAATAGTGGAAGCGGTCATGAAACTAAAGTGAACGTTCAACCTGCTTCTAAAAACTTTGAAGGTGCTGTCAACACGGTCTTCCATAGGAAGTCCTGTGGTCACATGATTCTGACGACGAAACAGTTCGCAAAAGTCCTATGAGGGCTTACTCCCTCTCTATTCCTAATAAACAACAAATATTGGCCTTTGTCAAAACATGAAATTATCAGTAAATAACATTTCAGCAAGTTTTCCTTATTATTCTTATATGACAAAAAAGAAGATAGATAAATGCATGCACATATGTACATGAAATAATTAAATAAATTAGTTAAATGAAATGTTTATACAATTGTGATTTATTGATGTCTCCAAGCATATAAACTAAAAATTATGTCAGCTCTTACAATCTGTGGAGACATAGTACGGACTAAATAACGTATTTCCTGGGACAGTATACTGCTTTCTTCCAGGAACGAAACAACATGGGAGGTTGGTTATTCAGCTTAAGATTTTAAGGCTGATGAAATTGTTTAGCAGTAGCAACATATTGTTATTTGGGGATACGTATTAAAAATTAATAATAATGAACTTGAAATATAACCAATGTCAGATATATAGTCTACAAACGCACACTGACAGTACTTATCACCTTCTTCTAAATCAAACACCAAATTACAGTGCATGACAACAGCAGACTTCAAGGTATTTCTTTTGTATTTGCAAGAGGAATGATTTGGATCAATATTCTCATTTAGAGCAGGTTGATATAGGGGTCTCCATAGTTCTGTCGTTTTTAGAAAAAGCAAGGTTATGACTATAGGTCTACACAATATTTCGTCGTTCGTTCATTTCGTTGGATAAATGAATTAGTGATGTTGAGGAGAGGAGTAATATAATAAATGTAATAAGAATGGCACGTCGTTATCACTTCTCCCCGATTTCTCGAGTAATGCACAAGTTCTAAGCTTTAAACTTCAGCTGCTGAGGGTTAGTTATATGACAGGATCTCATACTGATAATTTTCTAACTTCGATGCTTAAGTGCGTTAGTTGAAATGAAAAATCAAGCAACTATGTTTCATTACTTCATTCAAGTAAGAATAATTTATTGACTTGACTGAGTTATACGACAATCAAAAATGCTAAACTAAAGATGTGCCAGAATTATTGTCTCATTTGGGTAGGCATGTTACTTAAAATAACTAACTATGTATGATTAAGCTTATAAACCACGGAAATAAACTATAAGCTGATAAGACATACCCAAGGCACATGATATTGTTTCAACACCAACAACTACATTCATTTGAGCATCGAAACATGGCTTACAGTGCAACAACGAGGGCTAAATTTACCATCAAGCTTTTCTCTCTCTGACGGTTTGCTTTGGAACAACTACAACTATTGCAAAGCTTTTTATAACATAGGATATTATTCCTGCATTTACTGAGCATTTTCTGTCTAACACTGCCTGAAGTAGCGAATAAAAATTACAGCCACAGCATAATCAAATTTCTTTTATGAAAATTACATCAAAATCTGACAGTCATTCATTAAATGAACGTAAAATTGACCGATATTCCGGCCTACGATACAGTTAGTTGACGTGACAAAATTGTGTACATCTCAACTGAGAAAGATAACATTTAGGCATTGCAACTGATGTAAGTTAGTATTGCAAACCGTAACTCCTAATCCTAGTCCTTCACATTAATTTACAGTCCTCGTTCGACCCTGTAAAGAAACGCTTTATATCCTTACAAACTTTGAACAGTAATATATTCAGTGTTAACAATATTTCTACTGCTTTCATTTATCTTATATATTTAGGCAGATATTTGGTGTAATATATGAACTAGAACCACTAGAAATGGAAGCTCGTTAAGCAAAAGCTTCTTCTATTCCATGCGAAACCATCAAAATATTTTCGTTTCTACTTATTGACAATCGAATGTTTGGAAGCTCAGCGATATATTGAAGGTATGTGATTTATGCCAAATGTTTCAAATGATGAACTCAATGGAGATTTGATGTAGATTTTCGAACAAGCACCTTAGGCAAGGATTTGTTTGACATCAATGTTGAGGACTTACAGAACTATTTATTTTAGGCATTTATTTACCGCTACACATTTATTAGTTATTGGACTGTTCCAGGGCGCTATACTTAATCAAACACGCTGTCAGAGCGTAGCATATGGCGTCAACGATATCGGGATGTAACAAATGGTCTGCTATTGCATTCGCAAATGCTCATACCCACTTTATAGTACTTTCTGCCGTCAATCATGAACAACCAATTACCATTTTCACATTCAACACAAACAAAACACATCTTTTCGAGCTCCAATAAAACTTTCGACCGCGCAAATGGTGTTAGGAGGTTGAGCAACGAAGTAGTCGTAAAGCACTAGGCTTACAGCATCTTCCGGCTATTATGGCTTCTGCAATACTTTTCTTGGCTGATGTCATTGCATTCCGATTGAAAACCTTGTATATACATTTGTGCAAGCTGTCAGTTTTGCGTACATATCTTTTTATTTAGCGATTCAGTGACTCCATAAGATTATTCGTGTTGTTACCAGGAGTCAAAACACTTCCACTAAATGCTACCGCCCACATACTTTTACGAGACATCCAGAATCGATGAAGATACTGACCCACTAGTCTGTCTCTTTAGTTAATAACTCTGAAATATTGAATAAACCTACGCAATAAATACCTTTCAACCAATACCTTCCAACAGTTTCTGTGGTAACTAATCTACTGAGGTACGTTCTCAAGATTTTATCACTAGTCTAAAGGCAATTACATTAAAATCATGATAGGTGTACGTTTTTACGGAAAGCGCGACATGTGTGAAAGAAGCACAAAATAATATTTGCATTACCGTGTGTAATACCGGCAAGCACGCCTTCGGCTGGTGAGCAGTCCGTAACAATTGCTTGCGTTTTTGACGTATTTCCTATGGATTCTCTGAATTTTTCCACGACCCACGTTACATCTGCCCGCTATTCTTTTCGCGCTCATGCAAACAGAACAGGACACCCTCGTCCAAAATTATAGGTTACTACCAACTGGAATAACGAATATCTACAAAGTGGAACGTAACAAAAAGCATAATCTTTTTAATATTGGTATTGTACGTAGAATCAATACACACAACTTCTGGATATTTATTATATAGTTGTATCTGCTCATAAGTACTGAAGCATATTCTGGTTGCATATCCATTTTCTGGATACTCTGTCACTTCACACTTTTGCAGCAACATATCGATTATTTACATTCGCGTATAACAACCTGAAATATACTTCTATACACTTACTTGTAGACAGTCGAGCTTTCATATTCTTTACATCAGCAGCAGTGACCTGCTTACCAGTTCGATCCTTGATACTTTTTACTAATTCATCTGTTGATCTTAACTGCAATATCACCGGCTTCATATTTTCTTTTACTTCTGACAGCAACCTTCTGGTCCATGGATCACAAACCATCCATGAAATACTGCAAGCAAGATTATCAAGCATCTTGTATGATTTTATGACATATCCTTCATCTTCCAATCTTACACGGAACCTTGATTGGCATGTTAGAAACTTATATCTTAAACGTTACAAATTAGTTAAAGTTCTCACGGTTTCTGATTCACTATCCGACCTGACTTACGCTTATGACCAAAAGTGCAATGAGACATCACAAACAAATATTCAAACCTTTTACCCTTCAGAACTTTACCTTCTGTGTGAACATAATAAGTATGGATAGTCTGAGAAGGGATAAAATTATTCTTCCATACTTTTTGGAATCCCTTCAGCGCACTTTCAAATTCAATCCAGATACCGAAACGCCTGATCAGTATAATACATTGAAATTTCTCGCTTAGGTTGACTGGAATGTCTCTTGAAGATGAGGCACTACAAACAGCCCTCACTAATTATGAAAAAAGTTATTGTTCGAAGCAATGCTTTACTGACTGAAGAGAGTACTACAAATATTTAAGACTTACCGGTTTTTTTGACATTTCGTATCAACTTTTGCGTCTAACAGCGATCCACACAAACTTTGCGTATCTATAACCTCTAAGTCTATCTTATCTTTGTAACGCTGTTTTCTGTACCTTATCAAAAAACTAAACAAAAGCGTTGACATCCACTTCAGCAATTGGGATCACAGATGTAGTTACGAAGCAACGATAGAACCAACGTGAACATTACAAAATAGAAAATGCTAAATTATTGCTTTCATCAGTTATTTTGTGATTTTTAATGCAGCAAAAGGCGACTTATATATGAGAAAACCTAATATTCATGCAACCCAACAAAACCATGGCAACTGAAATACGGAATGACGGAATGATCAAGGTCGTTGTAAGGAAACAGCGGGCGTCTTTGAAAGAGTCTGACGCGCCGTCAGCACGTGTATTCGGTGTTTCGCGTAACATATTGCAGTGGATACCTAATTGAATAACCTGAGAACTGACCTTCGTTGCTAATATACTGTTTCATGCTCAACGTGTCGCTTTCATAATACGGAAATTTCGGAAGCAGCCATAGATCCCAACTTTTGAAAAATCCTTTATTACAGGTAGACATTTAAAAAGTCAGATTTAAAATTTCATATAACTGCAACCTAAAATCCAAAGTTTAGTGATTCGCATCATTTACTTGGTAGGCGTGAAAATTTTGTGTGAATACATAAAAAATCAGAGTGATTTAAATCAGTCTTCAGTAACAAAGTTATATATATATATATATATAGTAGGTTGGTGAACCTGTAAAAATCCCACATTTGAGTCAACTTTGGGTCCTATTTTGCATCTTATCAAAATGCACCCAAATTGATTCGTTTTGTCCTCAATTTGAATGCTTGATATGACGGATCATTCGGATTGCAACGCGAGGTTCACTTACCAAATCAGCTGCAGCGCATTTTGGCATTCAAGCAGGTTTCAGGGCGTGATAATAAAACCCATAATTCCCATGTACATTCCCTTTGTTCATCGTAAAGTTGATTACTAACTGGAATTTCGTAACTTGTCATATGACAAGTTACAAATCAGTCATTTTATTCGCTGGCCAAAACGTAGTTTAGTGTAGTCCGTTTAGTTGAAGCCCACCAATTTTCATAGTTGTAATATATCACTTGATGTGTGGATTGTAACAAGGCATATTTCGAAGCATTTACATCTGAAAGTCCACTTCCACACGTCCTAATCATTGTGGTATTATAGTTCACCGTTGTTAGTTGTGTCCATTGGTTATTCTATTATCTAGATCAACAGCTTGTGTGTAGTCGTGTACACTTATATAGGAGGAATTAGATTTACATTCCAGCATCTACTCGCTGCTTTTCTCTTAAAATTTTATCTTGCAATGTTTCAGATGGTTATATAGATTTTCTTAAACATCAGTCCCTGTTTCATAAGATTTCACCATAACTTGATTGTTAAGACAGTCAATTCTCTCACATTGGTTAGTTCATCGCCAAAGAAGCACATTTCAGCTTTCAACGTGACTATGGATTTAAAAAATATAACTTTATTAAGTGACAGGGATTAGGACTGAGCAGTTTCGCTGTTCATAATGTTTGCTACCGAAATAATATAATGTGAGCATTAAGTAACTGTATATCGATAAGTTAGTGTCAAAGTGTTTTAAATGTTTGACTTGTCTATTTGAACTGTGCTTCATCTACCTTAGTCTGAGCGTCTAATTAGTTTTATTGCATTAACAATTACAGGAATGCATCTTACATATGACTACCTAAAACTAGATTACACTACCTATAAGTGATTATATTTACACTTTCAAAGTAATGATGACGTATAGTAACATTGTCATTGATAAGTTTTCTATTCAAGTATGAAGATCTGGGATAGAACACACCTTGAGTTTAATATAAAAGTAAAGGACTTTATAGATTCAGACATATAACTAAGACTGGGTTGTTATACTTAAATAATAACTATTACACTAACCAGTAAAACTACCGTAGTTTTCTGGAACTATATATACCGACGTTAACACTATCTTCCTGAACTAGCACTTTACGAAACACAATTTTGTCAAGTTAGGAACTAATGTCACACTGTTGAGTATACTGGTGTTTGGGTCTTAGTTTATTGAATAGATGGATTTTGGTATGCTTAGAAATCCAACAAACTGGATTGGAACTACGCTTTTTGTTAAATAAATACTTGAGGACTTAAAAAATTATGTTGGTTCAGGTTGTTGTATTTCTGGCCAAATTAAATAAGAATGAAAGCGATAGCTAAACCAAAAGGTCACAAACACGAAACAAAGCATACTTAGTGTCTATATGCTAAAGACTTCACTACTAAGTCAATCTTAGTCATATATGATAAATCTAGTTTCGAATCCATTTATTTGAAAACTTAGGACCCTCTGAGAGATTTACCACAGATTTATACTTCTGGATCAAAACAACATATTGTTTCTGTTACTTCATCAATGTTGATCTTTAAATCTCCGTTTTGGATTTACCCAGTTTCCCTTCCCAGACCTAAACAGGCAACTATTACTAGAGTATTTACTGTCATCACTAATTTTAAAGCATCCTTAAAAGGTATGCTAGAAAAATAATTGGTTTTTTTGCAAATTCTGCCTTCCAGTGAAGTTCGGTATGTTTTTTTGAACAGCCTCTTCTTTCTGCGATCTTACTCCTGAAAGATCTACAAGTAGTTATCAGTAACTGATCAATATAGTGCATTCGATACCTACTTTTATTCCTTAAATCCGCATATTTAGTCAGGTTTGTACACTGGTTAATTAACATTCAAACCATGATTCTTAGTCTATCTTTTACAGGTGGCTAATTTCATAGTTTATTTTGCTTTCCATATATTTCCACTTTTAGGTGCACATAGTTTATTTCTATGGATGATGTATTCAATAGCGAAATATCTGATGTCCATTCAGAGTTAGAAGTTGGGTCACGAGACTGGGAACGTCGTGCTGAGGAGGTTTATAGTGCAGGTATACGAGAAGGATATTTCGCCAAAAGTGACGTTGTTTTACAAAACGAATTTAATATTGGTGTTGATCAAGGATTTGCATCGACATTTGAACTGGCAGTTTTAAAAGGGCGATTATCAGTAAGGTTATACTATTCAACAGGCGAAAAACATTCGAAAATTAAAAATCTCGTTAAGTCAATTGACGAAAAAGAAAAACAGCTCATATCACTGGGTTCTATAGAAAAAGATTTAACTTACCAACAGCTTGTACATGAGGCTGAAGTTATCTTAGCATCTTAAACAGTAAACTTACGGGAAATTTTTGTACATAGATTTTGTACTTTTCATATTACATCTTTTTGTTTATTTTTTACAATATTTGTTGATCCTTGGTTCCCATATTTAAGGGGTCAGTATTCTGGAACAATTTAATTGTATGTCCACTATTTACTGTAAAGTTGTGCAGTTCGTTCTCACCAATTTACATACATAATCATAGAAACAACTTAAGACCTAGATCAAATTTTGTTCAAGTTGGCACACTTTAAGCCTCATAGTTCAGTACTTTCAGGTTTTCAATGGTAGCCTAACATCAATCGACTCGTGATCTCAATCAAAAACCTATCTCCACAACCACATACTGATAAAACAAAACTTAATATGAATAACCATAATAGTACCAATGTAAAACTTAAGAAGATCCTTGAAAGTTCTAGAAGAAACTAGTTAGAGATAATTAAATATTTTATATTGAATGTTTAAATAAGAAAGACGTAGTAAATTAATTACAGCACTTGACATTCATTCAGTTACCGTGTCATGTTTGCACTGTGTTCTTAAGTAATCCATTTTTTATTGATATTACTGCCTCTTACGAATGAGTTGTGCGAGTATAACATACACGAACGGTAATTGGTTTTTCAATTATATTAAAAATTCGCTAATATTTAAATGTTGAACCAAGGTTAAGTAAATGAGGGCATCTTAGTGGTTAAGGTGATGAGGTTATAAACGCTAATTCGCTGGTACGAACACCGCTCCACTTACTTTGGTTTACGTAACTTTGTGGCATCATTATTCCTCACCTAGATTGTGGCTCATACCAATTTACCTGGTAAGGGGATTAATTAATTTCCTGATTTTAAGTAACGTACTTAAATTATTCAATCTTAATTAGTAGTGAAGTAAGGGTTTAAACTGTCTAGCTCGTAATTGGATCGCGGCACCTAGATGTTATCCTCTAGATCTTAGGGATAGACCTTAACCTAGTTCATGGACATGGGTGATTACTAAATCGTTCCTAACTTCAAGATTCTAATATGTCTGGGGGAACGACAGGCTGATACAACGAAGCACTTCCCACATTAATATAACTTATAATTATTATTGCTACTCTTCTCAACAGTGAGTGAAGAAAAAATAAAGTTGGGGCTTTGTCTAAGAATATAAATAATAAGCTACATCAATCCTAGTCCCAAAAAAATTAACCCACTGCTTTCACTTTTATCAGGCATGATAATCCACAGCCTCTAACCAGTCACTTCATTTTGGTCACGATATATGAGTTAGAGATCATTCTGAAGTTAACTATGACGGACGTTCTCGTAGTTCATGTGACCCTATTTTTCGTAACAGTAGCACGACATAAAGGAAGTAGGTTCCAGATTGGTTCACCAGGTTAGTGGTTCCAATGTCTGCTACAACCAAAGGATATCTTATCGCAAGTGTTTTTAGTTTACTAGGAGTTCCTATCGTCCAAATATATTGCAACTATAGTAAACTTACTACGTTAAATACTCTTTAAAACTTCATAAACATCTACCACCTAAGAGTATTGAAGTTGGTAAATCGTTTAATAGACAGTTACAAGTTTCGGTGACAAATTGCGTAAACGTTATTTTTGCGCTTGCTAATAAATGATTTCATAAGTAAGGGGACTTTTTTATTCCTTGCTCAACTTGTACAATATAGGAGTATCTCATATACAACTATCAGTTTAAAATTTTGTAAATATCTAGGCAATAAGCTGATGCATCATTTTTGTGGTGTAACCCTTCATAGAGCTCTTTTCTACCATCCGTTTCTGAACGTAGTTCGTACAATTTTCGCTTCAGGAAATAAGTCTTCAATATGAGGTTGATAATCAGATGAACTGCATGATCTACTGTATCGAGTGTTGACGCGTCAGACAGTGCTACTTATGATCGTTCGTTAAATTTTTATTAGTATTGATATTACCTTCCATCCTTTGTCTATCATCTTGTTGCTTTCCTCTCTTTGTGTTGACTTGAGGTATGGAAACTTGGACCGACGCACATTCTTCCTGGACCCTGTGCTCATTATGACTGACCCTAATTTCCTATCAGTTAAAGTTAGGCAGTTATGATAAACGAAAAGCATGGAATAATTGTGCGTTAGGTCAAGCTGCCATACCATATCAGGATGGAAAGAAAAAATTAATGATGATAGTGATAGATACTAAAACAATGTGAATATGGTTCAAGAAAGAATGGTAAGGTATGCATAAAAGAATCCTAGGATTCATGGCTCAAAAGAAACTGAGTCACATTATCCAACACCACCCATTAATTGCAAAAACCACTCTGACACCAACAAGGTGTGGTAAGAAACTATATGTAATATTTATTAACTACTTAGAAGTATAATGAAGACTGGATTATTGAGTAGGTGGAAATACTTACCTAGTATTTCAATAACTTGGATGTGCAAAAATCAATATGGCCCAAATAAAAACTATATGATATGATGTATTTTATAATTATGATTAGGCGATCGGACATAGAATCTTCGGTAAACTGTTGTTGAAAGATCTAGTCGTATAATAATTGTCGAAAGTCATGCAGTTAGTATATTCAATTAAAAAGGATTATGAGGTCACATTTACGTAATTGCATGAGCGTCTAATATTTTACTCATATTCTCTGACATATACTTAGCACCTAAATTAATAGGATTCATGGTCATGAGAAAACCGTCAAGTGGAACGCTGTACATAAGTAAGTCGAGTCGGATTGTCACGTCTCGCATTTGCAGAAATATACAGTTAACATAAATAACTTACTCCTGTTACCCCGCGTGGAGGAGCATAGGCTGTCCACCAGCATTCTCCATCGATAACAGAAATGAAATGACATCGAAATATAGATATAGAAATTTTGAGTAGGTGGAAATACTTACCTAGTATTTCAATAACTTGGATGTGCAAAAATCAATATGGCCCAAATAAAAACTATATGATATGATGTATTTTATAATTATGATTAGGCGATCGGACATAGAATCTTCGGTAAACTGTTGTTGAAAGATCTAGTCGTATAATAATTGTCGAAAGTCATGCAGTTAGTATATTCAATTAAAAAGGATTATGAGGTCACATTTACGTAATTGCATGAGCGTCTAATATTTTACTCATATTCTCTGACATATACTTAGCACCTAAATTAATAGGATTCATGGTCATGAGAAAACCGTCAAGTGGAACGCTGTACATAAGTAAGTCGAGTCGGATTGTCACGTCTCGCATTTGCAGAAATATACAGTTAACATAAATAACTTACTCCTGTTACCCCGCGTGGAGGAGCATAGGCTGTCCACCAGCATTCTCCATCGATAACAGAAATGAAATGACATCGAAATATAGATATAGAAATTTTGAGTAGGTGGAAATACTTACCTAGTATTTCAATAACTTGGATGTGCAAAAATCAATATGGCCCAAATAAAAACTATATGATATGATGTATTTTATAATTATGATTAGGCGATCGGACATAGAATCTTCGGTAAACTGTTGTTGAAAGATCTAGTCGTATAATAATTGTCGAAAGTCATGCAGTTAGTATATTCAATTAAAAAGGATTATGAGGTCACATTTACGTAATTGCATGAGCGTCTAATATTTTACTCATATTCTCTGACATATACTTAGCACCTAAATTAATAGGATTCATGGTCATGAGAAAACCGTCAAGTGGAACGCTGTACATAAGTAAGTCGAGTCGGATTGTCACGTCTCGCATTTGCAGAAATATACAGTTAACATAAATAACTTACTCCTGTTACCCCGCGTGGAGGAGCATAGGCTGTCCACCAGCATTCTCCATCGATAACAGAAATGAAATGACATCGAAATATAGATATAGAAATTTTGAGTAGGTGGAAATACTTACCTAGTATTTCAATAACTTGGATGTGCAAAAATCAATATGGCCCAAATAAAAACTATATGATATGATGTATTTTATAATTATGATTAGGCGATCGGACATAGAATCTTCGGTAAACTGTTGTTGAAAGATCTAGTCGTATAATAATTGTCGAAAGTCATGCAGTTAGTATATTCAATTAAAAAGGATTATGAGGTCACATTTACGTAATTGCATGAGCGTCTAATATTTTACTCATATTCTCTGACATATACTTAGCACCTAAATTAATAGGATTCATGGTCATGAGAAAACCGTCAAGTGGAACGCTGTACATAAGTAAGTCGAGTCGGATTGTCACGTCTCGCATTTGCAGAAATATACAGTTAACATAAATAACTTACTCCTGTTACCCCGCGTGGAGGAGCATAGGCTGTCCACCAGCATTCTCCATCGATAACAGAAATGAAATGACATCGAAATATAGATATAGAAATTTTGAATAGTTAAAGTAGTAAGATGTTCAAGATTTTGACAAAAATGAAGGTTGAATATATCTGTCACGGAGTGATTGATTTAGTGTAGCGTTAATTTACTTCCAAATCTTACTGTAATATAGACGGTCTCAGTCAATTAGCTTATATTTCCTTAAATAGTTTAAGCTGACAGAAAATCACCTTGCAGATCGATGTCATCGGTATGGTCACTTTTAGCTGTTGTGTGACAGTCCGACTAGGGTCATATTATAACAGTGAACGGCTGGATATGCGTACCTAATGATTCATAAACACTCTTCATACACATTCTGCTGTCAGGATATTACAGACCATAAAGAAAAATTAGGCATATATGGCTTTAATTAAAATTACTTTTGTCATTTTTGAGGCTATGGCCTAGTGGTTGAACATTTGGACGTTCAGTCACGAATTCATAGGCTCGAACTCCGCCTTATCTACCTTCGTCCGGATAACCATGTAGTATCATTAACCCTCATACCGAGACACCTGGTAAATTAGTGGGTTTTTAATCATTTTTTTTCAGTTCATAACCTTATTACCAAAATATTTACATCATACAAGAAGGAATATTTCTATTGGCTTATTTTTTGACAGTTGAAAGTATTTCCAATAGATAAGTTCTTGGAATCTAATACTAATAAAGCAGACATAGCATTAATTCTGGTCAAATTGCATGTGTCCTAAGATGCTATTATGGTTATTTTATGTTGTGAATTTTCTTTCTATGTTTGATAACACTGTATATAGTGCGTTCTAGAACGGCAAACATCCCGTGTGTTATTCTAATCCGCTTCTCCAGAATATCAATCAGAACAACATCAAGACCATGCAAGCGCCTCACAATATTCTGTGCTATTTAGTATCTAAAA